CTTCCTTCCTTCCTTCCTTCCATCTGTCCATTTATTCATCCATTCATCCATTCATCCTTCCATCCATCCATCCATTCATCATCCATTCATCCTTTCTTCCATTCATCCATCCATCCATCCTTCCTTTCACCTACCCTTCCATCCTTCCATCAATCCATCATCCATCCATCCACCACCCATCCTTTCATCCATCCTTCCATCCTTCCTTCCATCCATCCATCCATCCATCCATTCATGCTTCCTTCCATCCATCCATCCATCCATCCATGCTTCCTTTCATCCATCCACCCATCATCCATCCATCCATCCACCCATCATCCATCCACCCGTCCATCCATCCATCCATCCACCCATCCTTCCTTCCACCTACCCTTTCATCCTCCTATCCATTCTCCCATCTTTCTTCCTTCCATCCATCTTTCCACCCTTCCTTCCCTCCTTCCTACCTTCCTTCCTTCTGTTTATTCCCAACCCTATCTCAAACCTAAAGCCGATTCCCAAAAAGATGGTCCCACCGTAACCATCATGCTCCAGAACCCCTAGAAGCTCATGGATTCACTCAGACCTGGCCTCCTTCCCAGAGGAAACCCCCCTCCAGCCCGTCTCCGACTCAATCTATACACACGCCCTCTGCCTCACGTTCCCTCTTCTCCACACCCACTGCCAACCCACAAACAGCTCCGAACGCAGCCCACCCACGCCACACGTGCCCACACTCCCAACCTCAGTGCCCACCGGACTCCCAGCTCGGTCTCCGTCCCCACCGCCTTCCTCAGCCCCACTCCGCCCTCAGCCCCAACCCCAGCTCCCTGCCCATCCCGGCTGGCGTTTGGACACATCAGGGTTGGGATCTGACATGAAATTGCATTGAGAGCTGAAACTGGTGTGGCTCAGTGGATAGAGCGTCGGCCTGCGGACTGAAAGGTCCCAGGTTCGATTCCGGTCAAGGGCATGGACCTTGGTTGCAGGCACATCCCCAGTGGGGGGTGTGCAGGGGGCGGCTGGCTGATGTTTCTCTCTCATCCATGTTTCTAACTCTCTATCCCTCCCCCTTCCTCTCTGTAAAAAATCAATAAAATATATTGAAAAAAAAAGAAAAAGAAAAGAAATTGCTCTGAGGATCGGGAATCAGGAGGCCGTTTGGGGGCTGAGGATGGAGCTGAGATGGGCGCTGACTGGGAGCTCGGGTTGGAGGGAGCCTTGGGTTTGGGCGAAGGGGCGCCTGCGTGGACACGGCCCGGCCTTGGCCCCGCCGGCCTCACCCGCTCCTGCAGCATCCCGCTGAGGTCCCCGTGGGGCGCGTACTCCTGGGCGAAGGCGAAGTGCCGGGCGCTCTGCAGGGGTCCCGCCAGGGTCTGGAGCAGACCCGGGTGCGAGGAGACGCAGCGGCCCACGCAGAACTCCCGCAGGAAGGTGGTCCTGGGCACCAGGTCCCGACGAAGAAGCTTCAGAGCCACGGCGGGGCCTGCCGTGGGCGGAGAGGGCGAGGAGAGGACTCAGGGCGCGCCGGCCGGCCGGCCGGCTGTGTGACCTCAGGCGAGCTCCCTGCCCTCTCTGGGCGGGCTCTGCTCCTCAGAGGGTCACAGAGTCCAGCCGGTGGGCGGAGAGGAGCAGGAGGGGACTCAGGGCGCGCCGGCCGGCCGGCCGGCTGTGTGACCTCAGGCGAGCTCCCTGCCCTGTCTGGGCCGGCTCTGCCCCTCAGAGGGTCTCAGAGTCCAGCCGGTGGGCGGAGAGGAGCAGGAGGGGACTCAGGGCGCGCCGGTCGGCCAGCTGTGTGACCTCAGGCGAGCTCCCTGCCCTCTCTGGGCGGGCCCTGCCCTCAGAGGGTCTCAGAGTCCTTCACGCTCGGAGAGCCCTGACCATGGAGGGTCCCCATCGCCTCTCCCCGGGGTGGTCCCCGCCTCGGGAGCTTCGGGGAAACCTTACATGGGGAGGGGGCGGGGCGGGGCGGGGCGGGGCGGGGTCCCAGAGTCTCTGCCTGCCCGGGGTGGCCGAACTCACCCCCGTGGCGAGGCTGGGCGAGGAGCACTTTGCCGTAGGAGCCGGAGCCGAGCTTTCGGATGAGGCGGTACTGGGCACGCACACTCCGCACGGCGGCCACCCTGGCGGCGGTCAGCTCCACCAGCCGCTGCAGGGCTGTGGCCGTGTCCTCCTGCAGGCGGGCGAGGGACACGGGGGGGGGGGGTGAGCCGGGACCCACCCAGGGAGAGCGGGAGAGGAGATTGGCGGCCAGCTCCGGGCCGAGGTGGGGGGTCAGCGTCCCCAGAAAGGAGGATGAGTCACGGTGACTCACAAGCCTCGGGGCCACCTGTTTTTGTGTCCTGGCAAGGTTACGGGCGATTGTCTCGGGGACCCCACCCACTGCCGTCGGTGGGAGCCCCAGAAGCCTGCCTGCCTTCCTTCCTTCCTGCCTTCCTTCGACTGGGGCTGCCTCTTCCCCCTCACCGCATGCCCTCCCCCTCCATCCACCTCTCTCTCTCTCTCTCTCTCTCTCTCTCTCTCTCTCTCTCTCTCTCTCTCCCTTCCATCCATCTTTCTCCACCCATCTCTCTCTCTCTCTCTCTCTCTCTCTCTCTCTCGCTCTCGCTCTCGCTCTCTCTCTCTTGCTCTCTCTCTCTCTCCATCCTCTCTCCCTGTGCTCCCGTTCTTTGCTCCTGAGCGCCTGGCTCTGGGGCCTGGGTCTTGCTGTGTGCCCTTGGGTTTGTATTATTCGGAGTCTCTGATGCTTCTCTCTTTCCCTGGCTCTTCTGTTTCCTTCTCCGTCCCTCCTAGGCTGCCCCTCTCTGACTCTCTCTCTCTGCATCTGCCTCTCTCTGTCTCTCTCTGTCTCTGTTTCTGTCTCTCTTCCTCCCTTGTGTAACTCTCTCACCTCGGAGTCCCCATCCTCCTGGTCCTCGGGGTCCCTGACCTCCATCTTGGGGTTGCCTGGTGCCAGCAGGCCCTTGGGCTCCCCCTCGTCTAGGCTCCCCGACAGGCGACCGGCCCCCTCAAGCCCGCTGCGTCCCACCGGTCCGCGGCCTAGAGAGACCGAGGCTCTGCCCGTCTCCCTCTGCGTCGGGGCCCACAGATTCCTCGGACGCTGGCTGCCTCCCTCACCCCTCTCCCCTCTTGTAGCCTCCAGCGCCCCTGGGTCCCGCTCGGTTGACGTCTTTCACTCCTTCTCACCTCTTCCTCCCCTCCCTCACCTCCCTGCCTCTGTCCGGCGGCCCTGGTCCCGGCTCTCGGGTCTCAGGGGTAGGACTCCCTGTCCTGACTCTGCTGGTCCCTGGCCCCTCTCTCCTGTCCCCACGCTGTCTCCACTGCTGTCGCCACCGTCTGTGACGGGGCGGCCCCCACTCGCTCGGCCCTCCCTCTCCTTCTCTCTTTCTCTGGTTTCCCCTCAGGCCGGCTTCCCTGTGGCCTCCTCTCCCCAGAGCCTCCGGGTCCCTCTCCTCCTGTCTGTCTTTCTTTGCTCCTCTCCTCCTGTCTTTGTTCCTGACTGTCTGTCTCTCTCTCTCTCTCTCTCCCGGGCCTTTTGTCCCTCCCTTTTCCTGGGCCCGGGACAGGGGTGTGTGTGACAGCTCAGAGACATCCCGTCCCCCCCTCACACCCCTCCCTCACCCCCTCCGACCTGCGGCCCCCCTCCCTCCCCCCTTCCAAACTTAGACCGGCCGGAGTCTGGGCTCCAGTCCCAGGACAGAGGGGACAAAACACATTGTGAACCCCCGGAGGCCAGGCCTGAGGGCCGAGGGGAACCGGGAGGCAAACCCTCCACAGGCCCAAGGCAGGGTGCACAGCGTGAGGGCTTCCCTGTGCCTGGGAGTGCTGGCTCCGGAGCCAGAGAGAATTCCAACAGCCCAGCTTCCTGCCTCCTCCCTCAGACTAGGAGTCCAGACCCCCAGCCCTCCTCCCTCAGACCCAGGAGCCCAGCCTCTCCTCCCTCAGACCCAGGAGCCCAGACTCTCCTCCCTTAGACCTAGGAGTCCAGGCCCCCAGCCTCCTCCTTCAGACCCAGGCCCCCAGCCCCTCCTCCCTCAGACCCAGGAGCCCAGGCCCCCAGCCCTCCTCCCTCAGACCCAGGAGCCCAGGCCCCCAGCCCTCCTCCCTCAGACGCAGGAGCCTAGGCCCCCATCACTCCTCCCTCAGTCCCAGGAGCCCAGGCCCCCATCACTCCTCCCTCAGTCCCAGGAGCCCAGGCCCCCATCACTCCTCCCTCAGACCCAGGCCCCCAGCCCTCCTCCCTCCCCTGAGATCCAGGTCCCAGCCTCCTCCCTTAGATCCTGAAGCCCAGGCCCCAGCTCTCCTCCCTCAGACCCAGGAGTCCAGGCCCCAGCCCTCCTCCCTCAGACCCAGGAGCCCAGGCCCCCAGCCCTCCTTCCTCAGACCCAGGAACCCAGGCCCCCAGCCCTTCTCCCTCAGACCCAGGAGTCCAGGCCCCAGCCCTCCTCCCTCAGACCCAGGAGCCCAGGCCCCCAGCCCTCCTTCCTCAGACCCAGGCCCCCAGCCCCTCCTCCCTCAGACCCAGGAGCCCAGGCCCCGCCCTCCTCCCTCCTCCCAGGAGCCCAGGCCCAGGGATGGGTGGGGAAAGGCCTTGTCCCCCGCCCTCAGCACCCGCTCTGAGCCGGGCTGTGGGAGGGGGACGGGGCCTCACAGGGCTCCTCCAGCCACGGGTAAAAGCGGGATCCGGCCCCATGCGCAGAGCAGGAAACTGAGGTTCCGAGGCCCAGATGGCCTGCTCGGCCAGCCGGCGGGCGGGCGGGCGGGCGGGCGGGCAGAGGTGTGAGCGGGCGGCCGGCCAGGCTGCCCCAGCCGCATCGGTTTTCAGCTACTACGGCTGCTATTAATAAAGGCAGCCCAGCCCGCCTGGAAGGGTCCCCGGAAACTGGCCTGGAGCTGCCCCAGGAGGGGGAGGGAAGGGGGGAGGAGTTCCTGTGCTCTTTGACCTTCGGGAGGTTTGACTGTGCAAAGCTGCCAACATGCAGAAAAGTCAAAGGGCCACCGCGGACGCCCTCCGGCCGGACCGGACTTGGCCAGCGAGAATTTAGCGCCAACCTCGCTTTATCTGGGGTCTGGGGTCTGGGGTCTGGGGTCTGGGGGGTGGAGTGGGGGTGGGGTGAGGCCCAGGTGAAGTATTTTAAATCCAACGACAGCCTGTGGGGAAGATTGGGGGCGGAAAGGACGTGCTGCCTGATGTTTGCTTTAAAATACCCCAGCAGGCCCTGGCCGGTGTGGCTCAGTGGATAGAGCATCGGCCTGCAGACTGGAAGGTCCCGGGTTCGATTCCCGTCAAGGGCATGTACCTTGGTTGCGGGCACATCCCCGGTGGGGTGTGTGCAAGAGGCAGCTGGTCGATGATGTTTCTAGCTCTCTATCTCTCTCCCTTCCTCTCTGTAAAAAATCAATAAAATATATTAAAAAAAAATAAATTAAATACCCCAGCGGGCCCTGACCGGTTTGGCTCAGTAGATAGAGCGTCGGCCTGCGGACTGAAAGGTCCCGGGTTCGATTCCGGTCAAGGGCATGTACATTGGTTGCGGGCACATCCCCGGTGGGGGGTGTGCAGGAGGCAGCCGACCCATGATTCTCTCTCCTCATTGCTGTTTCTCTCTCTCTCTCCCCCTTCTCCCCCCTCCCTTCTACTCCCTCTAAAGATAAACAATGAAATAATGTGTTGATGTTGATTGCATGCCCAGGCTCTATTTTTTTTTTTTTTTAATTCATTCAGGACCTTCCAGGTCCTCCCTGCAAAGGGTTGAGGGAGGGTTTTCACTTGGGGGGGGACACTCAGGTACTGGGCAGAGCCGGGGTCCTAGGAGGCTCTGGGCACAGGGCTGCCCCCTGCCCCCTGCCCGGGCAGCTGTGAGGCAGGTACTGGGCAGAGCCGGGGTCCTAGGAGGCTCTGGGCACAGGGCTGCCCCCTGCCCCCTGCCCGGGCAGCTGTGAGGCAGACCCGGTGCCTGCCCTGGGGGAGCTTGGGCCTCCTGGGGTGCAGAGCTGGGGGTCAGGCTGCAGAGCTGGGGTCAGGCTGCGGGCTGGGGTCAGGCTGCGGGCTGGGGTCAGGCTGCGGGCTGGGGGTCAGGCTGCAGGTCTGGGGGTCAGGCTGTGGGGCTGGGGGGTCAGGCTGCAGAGCTGGGGGTCAGGCTGTGGGGCTGGGGGGTCAGGCTGCAGAGCTGGGGGTCAGGCTGCAGAGCTGGGGGTCAGGCTGCAGAGCTGGGGGTCAGGCTGCAGAGCTGGGGGTCAGGCTGCAGAGCTGGGGGTCAGGCTGCGGGCTGGGGTCAGGCTGCAGGCTGGGGTCAGGCTGCGGGCTGGGGTCAGGCTGCGGGGCTGGGGGTGTGGGGTTCAGAGCTGGGGGTGTGGGGTGCAGAGCTGGGGGTCAGGCTGCGGGCTGGGGTCAGGCTGCGGGCTGGGGGTGTGGGGTGCAGAGCTGGGGTCAGGCTGCGGGCTGGGGTCAGGCTGCGGAGGGAGGGAGGGGAGAAGCCGCCTCCTCAGCGCCCAGCGCGCCCGCGCGGAGGCTCTGCTGATCCTGGAGCTTTGCACGTCCCCATTTAGCCACGGGCCGCCCCGGCGGGGTCACCCGGAGTGACCTGCGGAGGCGGGGGGGGAGGGGGCAGTGGGCCGAGCGTGGACACACCCCCACTACAGCTGGCCCCCTGCCTCCCGCCTCGCCTCCGCCTGTGTCTCCGCCAGCCCCGGCGCCTCCTGTGACCCCGCCGAGTGAGCGCCCCCCAGTGTCCCGCTGCCCGCGGCCTCGGCCTCCTCCTGAGCTGGGGGAGGGGGGGTCATGGCAGCCCCTACCCAGAGCTGCTTGTTAAAGGCACAGGAGCACTTCAAAATATATATTTTTTTGTTGATTTTTTTTTTTTTTAACTGGTGATGTGCCCGCAACCAAGGTACACGCCCTTGACCGGAATCGAACCCGGGACCCTTGAGTCTGCAGGCCGATGCTCTATCCACTGAGCCAAACCGGTTAGGGCCAAAGAAGCATTTAAAAAATATATATTTTTTATTGATTTTTTTACAGAGAGGAAGGGAGAGGGAGAGAGAAACATCAATGATGAGAGAGAACCATGGACCGGCTGTCTCCTGCACGCCCCACCCTGGGGATAGAGCCCACAAGCCGGGCCTGTGCCCTTGACCGGAATCGAACCTGGGACCCTTCAGACCAACAGGCCGACGTTCCGTCCACTGAGCCACACCAGCCAAGGCATCCTGCTCTTCCCGGCAGCGCCTGCAAAGCCTGTCCCGGCTCCTGCTGGCGTGTGCTGAGCGGACGCTGCCTCGGGGCGCTGGCCTGCCCCCCGGAATTCCTGGTCCCCGTGCCCACCCCAGCTCTCCGAGGGGCTCCCGCTGGCCGGGCCTCGTGCTTTTCCCGTGTGAGTGCCCGGGTCCGCCCGAGGGGGGGAGGGAGGTGAGAGGCTCGGGCCTCGGAGCCGGCAGCCGCTGGCCCTGGCCACGGGGCAGCCCTAATTGAGACGTGAGCACCGCGCAGGCCGGGGATTTTGACAACTTAGCGCGAAAACGGGAAGGTCAGCCGCCGCCCGAAGGGATGGCACGTTAGTCCCACAGGACGCCCTGGTCCGGGCGCAGGGAGCTCCATCACCGCGGGTTCCCTGCCAGCTAGCCCACGGGCGTGGGCGGGCAGCCCCCACAGCCGCCATCGCAGCACCCGGGGGGCTCCTGGGCTTTTACTCATTTGAAAAAAAAAATATTTTATTGATTGTTTACAGAGAGGAAGGGAGAGGGATAGAACGTTAGAAACATCGATGAGAGAGAATCATCCACCAGCCGCCTCCTGCACACCTCCCACCGGGGATGGGCCCGCCACCAAGGTCCATGCCCTTGACCGGGATCGAACCCGGGACCCTTCAGTCCGCAGGCTGACGCTTTATCCACTGAGCCAAACCGGTCCCGGCTCTATCTTTCTTTTTTTAAAAA